CTCACTCAGCTGTGCCCATACCATGTGATTCGATGTGGTTTGCAAAGTTCTCAACGTGAAATAAGTTTCAATTTAAATTCCAGCTGTGGCATTTATTTACCTACGAATATAACTATTGACACGCCGTCTATGAGAGTTGAAATTTAATTTTAAGAGTGCAATATTGACAATATGTGGCTTAAAAGTCATGCTTGGCCACTGCTGATTGGCCTCAAGTTTAGCAATTGTTTGGTAAGTGCCTCAAAAGCGAATCTCTGATGGGCAGCACAACAAGCTTCCGGTGGGATAATTGTAAAAGGTAAATATAAATTAGACTTGCTGATTGATACAGGCAAATGAAATTTTAAATCAATTTTGTTGTACGTACATATATATTTATTCCTTGACCTACGGCAATATCCGCCTCAATGCATTCGGGTGGCAGGCGTTAGAAAATCCTTGAATATCCTGAGCTGTCAATCGCATCGTGTAAGACTTYGCTCCCAAGYCTCTGTGGCTCTGCTGCGTGGCGCGTCAGACACAGCTGCTGGCTCTGACCTTAGAGAAATGCCATAACTTAAACTGGGGCGTGGTTCCCGCCACCATCTTCTCCCCCTCGTCTGTGTATCCGTGTGTGCAGGGCATTATGCAATGCTGCCAAGCAACCATTTTTCAAAAATTCAATTGTAAATGTGATTCAATTTGTGTGATCAGCGACGCCAATGTCGATAGCGACGTCGACGTCGGCATTGACAGCCCCTAGGGCCAGGCGGGGTGCACATATCAGGCGTCAAAACTTTGAAGCTCTAACAGCGTTACGAAGCATTTTGTTGTAACATTAACTTATGGCTGGGCCCTGGAGGCAATGGCGGATGTTGCTTTTGATTAAAGCTGAGCATATTTTCACACTGCCAGCATCCAGTGGCAGCCAGAAGATGGACAAATAATTACGCTAATTACAAGTGTCAGACTTATTAAAATACTGTTGAAACTGGGGCCAGAGGATCCGACCACAGCTCTGGGCACATCAATCACTGGAACTGTGCGATTTCTCGCTGAATAAATCATAAAAAAAACTCAGCTAAACTGGAACAACAAAAGGCTCCAGGCGTTGTCCCCACTGCGGTTGCCGGGCGTTTAGTTTAGTGTATGTGTGTGGGTGTAGATGTGTGTATGTGTGTGGGTTTATATATCTGTCATGTTTGCCCTGGTGTCTGTCATTGTTGGTGGTTTTTGTGGTTGCTGGCAGTGGTCGAGGCTTTTAGCGATTTACCTCTCTTTACCTACACACAGCCTATAAACTAACGGATGTGGGCGTGGCAGNCATAATCTGGCTGGCAGATTTTTGGGCTGTAATTCTTATCCAAACTACTGACTGATAACGTATTTCTACAAGGATAAACTTTGTCTGGCAAATCTTCGGGCTGTATTACTTGAACATTTTTCCAAAGTAAGTAATACTTAGACGCTTATCCAAACTATTAAGTAATCAATTAATTCCACAGGGGAAAATCATACTGTCTTATCTTTGTGATGTTATACTTAAACGCTTATCCAAACTACCGAGTAATCACCTAATTCTACAACTGCTGAACTGGAAACTCTACTTGGCAAATCTTTGGGCTGTAATACGTAAATGCTTACCCACTGATAACTTAATCGCAGGAAGTTTATTAAATCAGTATAAATCAAATAATAATATTCATCATATAAATTTTAATAAATTGATTAAAATCATATTTTCATCTAAAAAATAATTCCCGTGTACAAACCATAGGCCCAGGTGATAAATTCACTGTCAGATATGAAGGTAATTAGTAAAGGCAAGTGTCATCGTTTTTGGTAGTGGCATTATGGTCATTCCGTCACACCCATGCACGTGTCAGCAGAAAAACGGCGGAAGCTGGCTAAGCGCCCTCAAAGCTTCACATATAGACATAGGCAGGAAAGCGGGGGGATCTGTGTATGTTATGTCTTGACGCACGGAGGCTAGGTTAGGGCTTGCATTAGAAGAAGTAAACACTCCAAACCATTATTTCATTTTACTGCACTAAGCTAATGACGTCTTCTAGCTGTCACATCCCCTCTTAGAATTAGTGCTTCAAAACCATCAATGGAAATATCGATAGTATCGATAGGGTTTCTGTTGAGAGACAGATCGATGTCGATATGTCACTACAGACGCCAAGCCAACAACAACAACAATACAAATTACAATATATACAATTAACAATATTTAAATCTAATGTACACAAACAATTTGTTATATTTTACACTATATAGTACCACTGACCAAACAACGGTTTGTCGTGCCATATTTTGACTGCCTGAGCCTATAAAGACAGAGCAAATACGAAGTTGGCATTTTTTTTACGTTGAAACAGTTTGCTCTACATAAAATAGACAAAACTGTGTCCGATTCATTGTTCGCGGACTCGAGCCGCGTTCCTGTATTCGCAAGTCTACCGCAGCGGCTGTTTTCCGCTCTCGTGAGCTCTCACCACGCTGGGCAGGGCAACTTCATTGTTTGGCTAACTTACTAGTCTCTACTGAATAAACCACTATTCTTTTACGTACTAGTGACCTGGCTTACAACTTTTAACTTAACTGCTACCAAAGATAACTTATGTATATGACTACAAATGGCTACTTGCATGACTACAAAATTATAACTACTAAGAAACAAGGAAAATCTTAACAACAACTGCTAGATTAATTATATGACTAAAACATTATGACTACGGAGACTATTCTACCTGCTCCTTATTGGATTACCACGTATGGTGGCTCGTGAGCGATAAGGAAACGACCATGGCTCCTAAAGCCGGCGAGTCTGTCGGAGCCGCCGCCTGAACGCCGCGACTTCTCTCTTCATGTGCTTATGTGCTTTATACTCTTCTTTGAGGCCTACATATACAAATGTATATTATTGTCGACAGTATTTCCTACTTGGGAATAATGTTCGCAAAGGTGTTGGCACTTTCAGAAATTGCAGAGAAAGTTTCGATTGTACGGAWGAGGAAGACATTGATGATCAAGATCATGATCATGAACGTGCTCGCGTTGATGTAAGCATTGCTTCAAATAGCACTGTTTCGTCCAATATCAACCGGAAAATATGTCTACTATGTAGACAACGCAATTTACTTTCGAATGAGGGTCAACTACGGCTTCTCGCGAGTACTGCCTTGCCTTCTGAAGTATGGAGCTTTCGAACCCCAAACAATTCTTTTCATATCTGTTTCCAAATCACCTTTTTGAGCATATTTGAAATGAAACCAGTTTTTACATTCGTCAAAAAGACCCCAATGGAATTTTAAATTTCACTTTGATGGAGATTCGACAATTTGATAGAATTGTATTGTAGAATATGTTGCTGATTTTGACGGAGTTGTCATATCAGTAACCTCATAGGTGGATAATAAAATCGGATCATTGGCATCCAACTATGCTCAAGGACAAAACACGTCGATTCAACAAAGCCAAAAACGAATACGTAGAGATTGACCGACCCTTTGCAGTAGTTGTGACAGCATAATAGGAAGAACTAAAATTTTACTAAGAAGTAGACGTTGATAAGCTTAAATTTTTACTATCTACCCGACTTGACAGACAGCAATGCTTGGCTTTGTGCAAACGCGCTCATAAGGCGAATGTATCAGGCACTGAGCTCTTAGGATCTTCGGATCTTTCGGATAAATATTGCAGAGGGGCTACCAAATCAATAATGGGAAAAAAGAGTTGTATTCTAGAAAACGAATTACAATAAAAATTACAGAGGTGTCCTACTCAACGCGTGCCAAATCAAATGGTACAGCAAAGTGAATTTGTACATTGGCCTTTCTGGGGTGAAAAAGTACCCAACGTGTACAGGCCTCTCACAAGTAATGTGCGGAAAATAAACAAGTAAGAAAGCTCTAGTCGAGACTACTCGACTACTAGATCCCCTGAACCCTTGGAGCAATAGCAATAGGTTGAAATACCATTGTTCACGTCTTTCTACTTACACAAGAAACACGCACCCACACACACACAGGAATACATACACACACGCATATACACACACGCATACACAAACATTTACACACATACCCAAACACATACACACACAAGCATAAACACGCATGGTCTGCAGTGTGCGCTTACTATGAGAACTTAATTGTTTAATAACTTGTTTTGTGGACATACGATCTTCATGAAATTTCAGATTATGATTATATATATAATATGCATGTATTTGCCAAAGCACAAGTTGAATAATTTCTTTTGTAGACATACAATCTTAATATAACTTTCAGAGCGTAATTATATGGTTAAAATGTGTGTACATTCCAAAGCACAAGTCTCTAGTA